GCGTACACATGCCGCAGTTTTTGTCGTGGCTGTGTCTTAGTTGAAAGCCCAGAGCGATCTGTTCATCTGTCATACTGATCATACAGTCAATAACTTTGTTGTTATTAGCATCTGGTTAGCTAGCTATGCTAACAAATATAAGAAGCTTTTTCTACAACCAGTGAGGTAAAGGCACATCTTTATATGATCATTATAAAAAATAAAGAGAATAAAGTAAACAGGTATAAAATACTATATGACAGTAACATAAAGTTGTTATTAATAAACACGAATACAGTTTGAAAGGGGAGTGATTTGTAAAATATCCATAAAGAAAAATAATATGCTTACAGTTCTGTTTCATATGGGTGTTGAGAGATGTGTCCATAGATCTCTTAATGTTGCTCTCTAAGTGCACCAGATTGATGCTTTTAACATCAACATGTAAAAAAAAAATCTTTCATGCCCCCGGACCCCCCTAGAGGAGGTTCGGTCTCCCCCCCACTTAAATGATGTCCACATGGATAGGAAACTAAATATATTTGCACACATCTTGTGTCCAATATCTTTCTGTTGTGGTGGTCATGCCACACCGTGCACGTGCATGCATGCGCGAGTCATGGTGAGATATCTGGATTAAGAGGTTGCTGTTTCTTTGCACAGCATGAAAGAAAGGCGAAATGAATGGGCTGTGATTTTAGTTTTTTTAAGCAGAGGTCAATCATTTGTACGGCCCTCGGAGGATGTTGAAAAAATTGAAAAGGCCCTTGAGAGGAAAAAGGTTCCCCACCCCTGGTGTACAGCATTGAAGCAAGTCTTTAACCTACGTTGTATTTCTGGAAGAAGCTGAAGTAGCGGATGACTCCGACCCACACCAGCAGGGTGGAGGTTCCCAGCAGGATCCCACACATGTCGTACGAGGATGAGTTCTGCAGAAACAGGGACAGCATTAGAAACTGAGCACTGTACTGCAGAGCTGAACGATTAGAGATAATAATGAGAGGACGTTACCTTGGACTCGATGCTGATCTTGATGAAGCTGCCGATGATGGTGAAGGTGTCGCTGAGGATGAGGAGGAGGTACCAGCCGTTGATGAACTCCATCCGGTCTCCAAGGCTCACCCTGCGGATCAGTCTGTGTTTGAAGAACTGCACGTACTCCTGGAGAGGAAGAGGAGGAAGGAGGACGAGTTCAATCAACCAATTATATCGAGCACAGTCTGACTGAAGTAAGAAAGAGGATCATATCAATCTGAATCAGAGTACATGTGTTATCCTGGGGGAAAGTGTGTCTGTGACAGTTTCTCTATTTTAGGATAAAAACATGTTCAATAAAAAATACAAAATAAAACGTATACAAACATTAGAAGTTAAAGTAAGAATGGGTTTGTTTAAAGCAGAATCTTCTGAACATAAACACATCAATCGTTCTGGTGTCTTACGTGTTGCAGCAGGACGCCTCTGAGGACGGAGCGTCCGCACAGCAGCAGAGACATCAGACACACAAACGCCACACACACGTCGAAAAACTCCAGAGCATAACTCTCCGCTGTAGACAAATGATCAGACGCACAATAAAGAAAACGGGTCAATTAAGAACCAGATAAGTGTGTGTCTGAGAGAGTCATGTGTCAGTTCTCTCACCGTGCCCGGACACGTTGGGGTCTCTGCACTCCTGGATGGACGCCTGGTTCTGCAGATGGATCTTCACTTTGCCGCTGTGAGCCTTGTTGTCCATGACGATCTGATGAGGGTAAACAACAACACGTTTCATCAGTTCAACTCCTGTTTCAAAAGTCTGTTAATTTAAACAAACAACGTGCAAATTCACACATAATTATTAGACCTGATTTCTATCTGAGCTGCAGGATGGGTGGACAGTAACTAAGTACATTTACTCAAGTACTATCCTGTACTTAAGTATCATTTGAGGTACTTGTACTTTAGTTGAGTATAAACATCTTTCACTAGTAATTATAACTCTAGACCAATACATCTCAGAAAGAAATATTGTACAGTTTACTCCACTACATAAAATTACATACACTTGTAGTTACTATTTACTACTCACATATATAACATCTGTTAGTATGATACAGTATATGCACTACTAATCTACTCAATTGTACACAAAGTATGCAAATTACAACATAAAGAAACCTCTTATTTATATTATTTAGCAATTAAAAACTGAACATTATAACATGTTGTAGTAAAACAACTATTTAAAAAAGGGCCATTCTGCGAAATATGTACTTTTTAAAGTTTGCTGATGACACTTTTTTACTTTTAATTAAGTAACAGTTGGAACTCAAGACTTTGAATTTACTTAAGATGTTTTAATCGTTTATTTAAATACAGAAAGATGGATAGTTTACCATGATAGCAAAGGTGTAGCAGTCGGGGATTTCATTGTTTATTATGGTCTGAATGTTGATGGCCTTCAGCTGGAAATCAATCGTGACATTGATCAGCCTGAAGAGAGACAAACATGACAACAGTTAAACACAGCTTTCTTTGATTTTAATGTAAAAAAAAAAGCTTAATATTATCTCACTTGTAAAACTTGAGAGTGAAATTCTTGTAGTCACTGTTTCCTGGAGCAGAACTGTAGGTCAGTGGATTCAGTCCAATGCATTCTGGGGGAAAACATGATCAGAAAATAGCATCAGAGGAAGTTAAAGGGGAATTTGTCCTCATCACGTGAACCACTTTTCTACACTTCCTCTCAGCATTCAAACGCAGAACTGACCCCTTGGACATCATTATCTAATTTTATTTTTTTTTCCACAAGATCTATCACGCAAAAGTCATCTGTGCCAAATCAGCAGGTGTTTGCAAATAACTCCACTCCCATGGCATGGAAACTGGGTGGTAGAGTCAATGGAAAGAAAATATGTTGTGTTGCAATTGTTTGGTAGGAATTACCAATTGACATATGTGGAGCAGCACCAATGACTCACTGACATCATGTGCTTAAGGGGCGAGAAAATACTGGTTGGAGTAAAAAATAACTTGTTTTATACAGTGGTGCTGGGATGACGCATTTTTAAGTCTGACCCTGAAGTTAGCATGTGCCTGGTTCCCTCCATTAAAAGCCAATGGGTTTTTTTCATTGGATTTTGGAATATAGCAGAAAATAATCTCTGTGGCAAACGTTTATGATACTTACATGTTTTGTTCAGCAGGATAATCTCCACATATTAACACTTCATGATATTTGAAGTAAAAGCTCATGTTAAGCTATAAAGGAACTACAGCACAGTCACAAGATTTCACGTCACCACCGCTAAGCTAAAGGAGGCTAATGTTGGGCTATGAAGGAACTACAGCACGGTCACATGACTTCACGTCACCATCGCTAAGCTAAAGGAGGCTAATGTTGGGCTATAAAGGAACTACTGCACAGTCACAAGATTTCACGTCACCACCGCTAAGCTAAAGGAGGCTAATGTCGGGCTATAAGGGAACTACAGCACGGTCACATGACTTCACGTCACCATCGCTAAGCTAAAGGTGGCTAATGTTGGGCGTGATGTCGTTTAGTCGTCTCATTTAGACACTTGTTAGGAAC